TATTTTCATATTTTGTAATCGTATCGATCTTTGTACGAATTTTTACGCATAATATGCTAATTCGTGCATTAATGCATTAATGCAAATGCCCCTTATTATATATCTATTTATTAAAATCGTATATTAATGAGTGCAGCATACATACGAGCCAATTTATTCGCAATATTTTATTCGTTGCGACTAATATTCATGTATTAAAATACTTTCCAACATTTCCTCATAATGTCATATACTCCCGTACCATTTTATATATTTACAATTACGAAAGAAAGAAACTTCAATCGAGATCTATTACCTACATTTTTCGAGAATTACCTAGACACGGTTTCGATCATGTCGGCGCGACAGTTGAACGATCAAACGTATACTCTCTCGTAGTTAATCACGCTTGCAATGAATTCGACTGAGCACACACGTATGTATGTACATATGTATACGTATATACAGATTCGAATCGAACTCATGCAATGAGAAAATTACAGCGATGACCATGTAGAAAAGTTCCCGTTTACTTATTTTCTTTTTTCCAAATTAAATTAATTTTGAAAAACTTTTTCCTTAACATTGGATATCATATATGAAATGTATAAACATATCACATACTAAAACACGATACCTAATAAATGCTGTTTTTTTTTCTGCATACATTTATTTGCAATATTATTAAACTAATGTGTGCGAAATTTCTCAGTCAGTTTATTGTACGAGGAAAACAATGTTTACAACTTACGTTATTTTCTAATTGTGAAAAATTGTTTAACACGTCATATTTAACGTTTTACAATCCTGTAGCAAGTTTGTAGCAGCTGTAGCCACATATTAACGAGGCATAGATATCTTTAATTAAACGTGTAATATAATCACATGATATTTGATTTCATTCTGAAGATTTGAAAAGCCAGATTAAAACATTCAGTTTATTTACAAATCACGCGTTTACTATTTTTCACAGATGTTTGTGATTATTTTCATGCTGAAATATTTAATTTTATAAAATCTTCCTTCAAAAATACATAACAGCAGCATTTGAATTAGTGTCTTTCATCGCTTTCGAGTAGATTAAGTTTAGATACACTCAGAAAAAGAATATTTTCAACAAACTTCAATCGGATTATTTTACTATTTTTCTTTTGCTTTTTTTTTTTTTGTTTCTGAAAATCTTTTAATGCTTTTTGACTATCATCGATTTTATTACAATTTTTGCTTTAGCGACTAATTATTTATTGATGATAACTGTTTGGGGTAATATTACTCGAATCCAAATGTTCGTAGACTTTCAACAGCTGAAATTAGCATGAAACTTTCACTGGTGCTAATGCGTTCTAATGTCAATAACTACGTTCATATTTCATTGAAATGTTTCTTCAAGCGATATTACTAAAAAATTTCTTAAGATTTTGCTTTCGGAGGAAGAAGTGAAAAAAATCACCCAGCCAGGACGATATATGTATTGCATGCTAATGCGGCTATTCAAATCCGCTTTTAATATCGGATTATTAATACAAACAAAACCGTATTCAGCGGGACAGGAACGAAAATGAAATATGCAGAATGTAAAATCAAGAGACATTTTTGATATTGCGTTGACAAAGGCTGGCTTAAAATTATTTTAAACGCGGAGCAAAGGGAACGCGTAATTACAATGTGAAATTTGACAAAGTTAATTAGAATGAAAATCAAAACCCTTTGCGGTCCTTTTTATGAAAATATTCTTGTCTTTCGTAATTTTCACGTGTTTAATTAATTTCGGTGTCCGTCTCGTAAATTACATGCGAATTTTTAATGAAACCGCCGTATCTGTAATCTTTAATGCTTAGATTCAACGCAATTTAAGCACAATGTGTTATTGCAAGTGCGAGAAAAATGCAATTATAGTCCATATATATAACAAAAAAAAAAAAAAAAAAAAAAAATAAAAAACAAAAAAAAAAAAAAAAAAAAAAAAAAAAAAAAAAAAAAAAATGGAGAAATAGTTCGTGATACATTTTTTAAACGAGATTAAACAATTCTAAGCTTTTCTTAAATAATTTTGGAAATTTATTCCTGTTATTTATTGACCAAAAAGAGAAATAAAAAACAACGAGGATCTTCTTATTGTCCAATACAGAAAATACACCGCGAATTAGACATCAACTGAATGATAACCTAAAAAAATATCGACAAAGAATCCTAAAACTAATATACCTTAAAACGGTCTAACCTATATAATAAATTGTAAGACTTCAGGTCGCTAAGAATCCGCACAAGCCCTTGATGCGACTTTAAATAATGAATATAAGAAAAGAAAAAAAAGAAAAAAAAAGAAAGAAAACGAGGATCTCTTTGTATATGTATTTCTATTACCCGGAATAATCTCTCCGTTGATTACGATCTCTGTGCGTTGGTTATTCCGCGAGCCGACAATCACGGCGAGCAAAGATGAAAAATTTATGGACGCGCGCATACTTTCGGGGAGAAACTCAATTATCATCATTCGAATACTCGCGGCAATTTCACGCAGCCGTATTCGCAATTAGTCGGTATGGTTTTATTGCCGTAGCCGGCAACAACTGGCTCTGTTGCGTCTAGTCCCTAATACGGGGGCACAAACCGTGCCGGGTGATAACTAGACACCGCGAACCACGCGTGCTTTACGCAACGAGCGCATGCATCGCACGTTTCCTCCATACGCGCGTACACAATTTCGTTGGCGATCGAGCTCTTCCGTGAGAGTAACGTTTATGGCCGCGCGATACAATGGCCCATAGGTAGGAACGCGGCAACAGTTAAAACGTCGCCCGCACGAGCCTGGGCCCAACCGAATGAATAATAGACCGAGGCATACGGCACGTTGGCAATAACTTATGTCACCGACAAATTCGAAGATAATCCGCGATATTGTCACGCAAATGCTGCGCTTACGCGACTCCGACGCGTAAACATTATTGAAAACGACGAAACTTTCATCGATGGATGAAAGTTTTCTTTTAGATACAGCATGATAACTGGACCGCGGATTTTTGAATTGAATATGAGGTTCTTAGGAATATGGACGTTTCTCGAAATATGCTCTTCTTTCTTTTCATTGGACTTTTAGGATCTACGGGTCTGACTTTATATGCCAGTAAATGACCAATCTTGTATCGCGATGGACAGGGAAAACAAAGAAATTTAACGGAAAAGGGACACTTCTCTAAAGAAATACCTTTCTTTCATTTAATTGCTTGTTAAATATGAGAAAACGTTTCTTCAAGAAACGTCTTTCTTCAAATCATTGCAAATCATTGGAATATCGAATATCGAATATCGAATACCTCAAAGTCAGAAGAAACTAGATTTAAATGCGAAAAATGATTGAAAATAATTAATGTTAAATGTACGTACACTAATATATTGTATTTGAAAGTAATATGATATTGATACGACATGTTCAGTCCTAAGTTGCACACGTACTTTTTTTAAACAACACAACAGCACGTTGCACTACATGGCAGTAATCAATGAAAATAAAACTGAAAATAACTTTCCCAACGTATGCTTTTTCTATTGTGTTTATAAAAAATCAAGTGTTAGTTACGTATGTTTTTTTTCAATTGTACGTGACAATAGCGGTTTATAGATGGGTTAGAAAAGATATTTCATTTCGTATTTCCACCAATTACTGTCAACTCTTCCATTCATCATTTAGAAAACCACCCGCATTCAATTTTTAATTGCCAGTTTATTGCCGAACCACAGAAAGATAATTTTAGAAATTCACCCCATTGTTCTATACTCTTTTAATTCAATGAATGTCAAACATCTACGTCGATATTTACGACATTATAAAAAATTTGTATCGAATTGTACGTTTAATGAAGACGAATTTCTAACGAGATTTTAATATACACAGTGTTTTTAATTCGGTGGTATGAAAAAGTAAATTGGAAAAATAGAATACAATTTTTTCAGTAATATCTCCATTTTCGAAAGAAATCGACTTTGAAATAATCGGTAGGAAGTTACTCTATCTGCGAAAAATGTAAAATAAAATTTTTCTACATAACACCTTGTTTTCAAGAAAATAGACTTTGAATGTGTTTAATTAAGAATCGGTGTAACGTAATACAGACGTGTACTTGAAATTGAATTTTCTTGATGGGCAAGGAATTAATTAAGGTAGGAATTAGAAAGGGTAAGGGTAAGGAATTAGCTAAATTCAAGTATATTTGATAAATTTTTAAACTTGATTTTTTTCTAAAAATCGGTGCTTCAAATAAAAAAATTTTATTCACTTTTTTCGACTTATTTTTTAATATAGAATCAACCTCTTTCCTGTTGTACCACCGAATCAGAAACAGCTTATGTGTTCTACACAAAATGCTCGATTGGAAGCATAACATGGTAAATGCAAAAGCGGTCTTATATATTGGCGGTCTTATATATATATTGGCTTACGGTTAGTGTATTTATTAAGTAATTGCGCGATATTCGAAGTGAAATTATTTCAAAGAGTTCTGCTATATAATGTTGTGAATGAATGTTCACGGAGGCCACTTTAGTCGAAGTTACTTTAATGGAAGTGACTTTCTACGACATGGCAGATGACTTAGTCAAACTCGTAATCATAAACTTCTGCATTTATAATATCTACTAGCCTAATAACCTCATGTTTCTTTTTTCTTTTTTGACACGATCGTAAAGTGGAGAATGTAACGTTCCCACTAAAATCATGTGTTAATGCGAGTGATGCTAGTTCCTTAATCGAGAGTTTTAACGAAAAGTGATCCCCTCCATTCACGCAATATGATAACTCGCAACACCTGTGTTCGTAATAATTTCGTGTACTGATGATCATCAATAATTAAAAACGATTTCTACAGAAACGGATCCTCGAAGGGCAACTGTATCGATTGTGTTACGCCGTTACCCTCGTCGTAATGCTTGATTTGCTCTTGATTCACTTTGCTTCTTCGTTATTGTAATTACATAAATTCTATCTGTAGGAGAAAAATTCTTTACGACAGTCGAGTAGTTGTTACCTAACTTGGCGCCAATAATTGTCGGTAGCCAGCATTAACGAAGTCCGTGCAGCTGGAACAATTAAGTCATAACCAGCACCGTGTTCTCCCTTCAGCACGTCCCTCCCACGTCTTCTCAACTGCATTTCTGAAACAACGTCAAACGATTCAAGTGGTTACTCATCGGAGTACGTGAGAAATTGATTAACATCTAACTAAAATAATTGCTCATACTAGATTTATAGTAATTGTTTATACTAATTTACTATCAACAAGTCATATGCTATCTGTTGCCATTTCTAAAGTCACAATAATTACATTCTAGTACATACAAAAGTTAAAAGTAATTATGTAATTGTTTAGAATATGTTATTTATCGATATTTAGAATATGTTATGTTATATATTACGAATTTGATTTTGCCAGTGACGATCGAACGTCGCCAGTGATCATAGATAATTCAGCTTCGCAATGCCAAGTATCTATTGACATGAATTATACTCATTAATCTTACTTTTCCCTTGTCGCATTTAGATTTTCGTAAATCTCGTTACGCTCAATATACTTGATGCATTTATGGAATTTAACTGCACCAAAATCGAGTAACCCCAGGTTCAGACAATTAAAACGATAATACAGAGATGCCTTGTCTCGCTTAATTCTCTTCCACGTTCCGTAACGATACCTTGGGGCAAAGTTACCGTCACTTCGAATCGTTTATAGGTTAATCCGATAGACCAGCGTTCATATTTCGTCATAAATATATAAAGCTTCCTTGCTTTGAAATTGAAGTCAGTATTTTCAAATCCCGCGAGACCTGAATAATACGTTAGCTTATAACAACGCGCTAGATAATTCCCGCGAAATAGAAAATTCTATTCTGTTTTTTTTATTTCCTTTATTTCCCCCCCCCCCCCTCTTTTACTATTGTGCCATAAAAGCAATATAATATGTTAAGAGACAGATTTCTATATCAATTTCAAACGAGGTGGTACACATACGCGTATGATTTTAGGAATATGAATCTAATCATATCAAAAAAAAAAAAAAAAATTTTTAATTTTTCAGCGCATAATTAAAATACGCACTGTTTTATTTAGTTGAAGAATTTATTCGATCGACTCGACTTGACTTGAAGATAACTATTTTGGAACTTGCAAGCTGCAACTTTGATCGCACGACATGTTATTTCGACTGAATTATCCAATTAGACACGTAACCGTACAGTATGTACAGGTAACAAATGCAATGCATCAAACATCGCCCATATCGACTCGGACGGGGAAAGTATATTTCTGGCATAATTGGCAATTCGACGTAGGAAAGTCCCGGAACGTTGTTGGGACAGTTCGCGTGTATGGGTGACGCGGTGAAGAGACGGTGCTCTATCACGCGATCGGAAATAACAATCTACGCGCTTGACACTGTCAGCCGGTCTCGCCGGAACGTCTTGCCGATGGTGTAGAGCATCGAATCTGCCTCTTCCTCCTCCTCCTCCTCCTCCTCCCACTGTCCGTCAAGCGGTAGCTTTCGATCACTTTTCATGCCGAGCAAGATATAAACGTCTCCCCGGCAGAATCTTTAAATCCCGGATGGCGCGGCACGGCGCTCCCGTTGAATCCTAAGCTGGCAATCTCCCCTTGGTCTGTCCAAAACTTAATAGCCTCGGAAGCTGCAGGTCTTAATCTTTTCTCTATTACTCGGTCTTTTTCTCGGTCGTCCATTAAGACGTAAGGACAGGAGGATTGGGGCGGGGGGGGGGGGGGGGGGGGGGGGGGGGGGGGAAGGATGCGCGAAGAAGCGCTCTCGATGATGCGAGCGAACGTTGAAGAAGGCTGATACCAAATCGATGGAACTAATATATCCACGGAATCAGTGACTGGTTGCTCGCGTATGTGTGTGTGTGTGTATGTATGTGGGGGGGAGTAGCGAGCCGATGGTGTAACGGCCGCGTTGAGAGCCAGCAGGGAGAAGAAGGTGGGATAAGGTATTAAGGAATTGAATTGGGAGCGAGGAGCTGCTAGCCGATGCCGAGGGTGGCTCCAAGTATCGCCTTTGCTCCGCTCGGCTATCGCTCATGGCACGCTTCGATGAACGAGACTGTTCGCGCGCTCTCTCTCTCTCTCTCTCTGTCTCTCTCTCTCTCTCTCTTCTTCCAGCTTGCTCTCCTTTCAAGAGTAACTGTAACCATTCGGTAGGTTAGAATCCGGCCAGTGACGTTGCCGGCATATTGGACGGGCAACGGGCGCTGACCGAGTCTAACCTGCCAAATGGTTTCTACGAACCGGCCATCCATCACGTCGTCATTACGGTGGCTGGCTACGTTCGCCAGCCTGTTTCAGAGTTTACGCCTCGGCAACGCGAAGAAACCACCGTCTTTTTCTCCCCGCTGCCTCACTTCTTCCCTTTCTTTCGTTTCGAAACGTTCCACCGATGTTCTATCCTGTTTTTCAAAATTATTCAAAATTATTTGAGGCTGGCCGAAAAGTAACTGCAACTTTCCTTCAGTAAATGGACACGCGTGTACACCTCAAAATGTAGCTAATCTTATTTTATCTTATTCCACGTTCATCTGATATCTAATTCTTTAAAAAAAAAATCCACGATCTCGTTAACAATTGTTGGTCTGGCGTTCCATTTCAAAATGGAAAATCAAAGAAAACTTTCCTCTCGAAAGGGGGGGAAAAATCCTGTGCAAGCTGATAAAAAATTATCTGAAGAAGAGAAGAAGAGAAAAGAATAAGAACTTTTTCGAACGCGGAATCGCGAAAGATGGCGAAAAGTGTAATCGAACAGAACAATTTGCATATCGTTTAAGAAAGCTTTCTAATAAAGTTTCTCGTGAAAAATTTGTCTTTCACTTGCTCGTAAGAAAACGCAGTTAACTTTTGTAACCTGTAGATATAACAGGTAGAAACGGACGCTCTCTGTCATCGATCTGCCATCGATTTCGCATTCGAAGTATTCGTATCAGCGAACGTAAGACTTCCGCGGGCGAGGGGATGCCTGCTTCCAGTCGGGAAATCTGTACGGTCAATTTCGGAGAATTAGATTTACCGAAGCGCAGACAGCGACGCGATGCGAGGTCGAGACGGTTCGCGGGCGCGTTCGAGAATCTCGAAGCTCAAAAGCGTGTCGCGTACGTGACGAAGGTTCCACCAAGGTTCCAAGTTTCGCTCGTGAAGCGAACGAAGCCGTAGAATGTGCCAATCTCGGTATTCCCGCGGGTGTCGGCGTCGCGGCGCCTTTCATTTACGAGCGGAGAACGCGCGCGTATCGGACAAGCGTTGGCCCAGCGCGAATGCAAGTGAGCAACGCCGGCGCGGCGTCGGCGGCGTCGGCGGCGGCGGCGGCGGCGGCTATCCTCTCTCCAACTGTTGGAATTGTTGTAAGAGAGAAGTATTATTATCCGGGGAAATCTGCCGGCGTCCCCTCGAGATGCCAGATCGGTCACGTTCGGATGGAGCTGCCCATGGAAGCACAGAGAAACTTTCTCCGCCCCGTGACTTCTGTTCGAGTTCCACGGATGCGCTCCCACGCGTCTCAAGAAAAGCAAACTTCGTGGCCAACCTTATATAAATCGCAGGAAAAGAAGGTGGTTTCCTCGCGCCGGAAATCGGTATTCCTCCGGCGAGCAAAACTCGGGCAAAGTGAACGACCGGACTGGAATATCTTTCCGTTTCCAGCCGGAACTTCGCCGTTATAGCCGGACGACCGATGGACAACGTCCTCGTCGAATCCGCGACCATTCTCTTCGGGGGGGAGAACGAGTATCGAACGTTTTGAACAAATCATACTGCAGTAAAATCTCCCCTGTCCGAGAAGTGTTAGGCTGGCCGAAAGGAAACTGCGTCCGTCTTGTTGTATGCAGATGGAAGGCGAATTCTTTTTGTGAGAAACTTTAATATAAACTTTATGAATTGTTGACCATTTAATACATTGATCATTTTGTTTGGCCATCTTTTTCGAAAGACAAACAACAGCTATCAAAAAATGATTCGATATCCTCGTCGGCAGTGAAATTTAGCAAAACTAGTTCTGCCGTAATTTATCCTTTTCTTTCTCCCTTTCGAAAGCAGGATATATATCTTTTTTTGATTTTTCATTTTGAAATCAACGAAATCACGAAACACGATAAATTTGCAATGAGGTTAATTACACTTCGAGATATATGCACATACATGTCCATCGGTTAGAAAAAAAAACATCAATTCTATACCTAGTAGCAAAACGCACATCCTATCGATCGAAGAACATCCCGATTTAGAGCGGTTAACGTATTAATCATACAACAAATAAGACGCGACGATTATTCAACGTGTCAGTTGCCATCAGAAGCAAGTTAAAGTGTCTCGAACGTGATATTCTTTCGTAACGGGACGTAAATCCAATAGTCGTGTGAAACTAATGTTCTTCGTTAGCACGGATCGCGTACAAGCGAGGTAGAAATGTCATAAAAGAAAATACATTCGCGTATATCATACGCTGTCATAGTAATGAAGAAAATCCATACTCCAGACCCGCGGCTTTGTTTCTTAATCCGAAGATAACACGAGGATACGGCTGCGTGCACGAGTGAAATGGAGCGCGTATCAAGATAAAGTGGCTCGTATTTCCTTGGAGTAAAAAAGGATCGAGTGCGCTATAAAATCCGTTCAGAATTGGGAGTACAAAAATAGAATACTTGTCTCTCTCTCTCTCTCTCTCTCTCTCTCTCTCTTTCTTCCACCTCGAGAAATATCAAGCGAATTAATGTCTGGCTACTTTGGTAGGTCTCTACATACATATTTCTACGTATTAAACGATTGGAAATCCGATCGTACATTCGCGTGCTGATTAAAATAATAAACGAAATGTAAACCGGACGAGCAAAACGAACGAGACGACAATACAATTTTTATTAAAGCCTCGTGCTTCGAGAATGCTTCCCGAGTATTTTTACATACGACGCAACGGGAAAAATGAAGAAGAAGAGGAAAAAAAGCACCGAATGTTTGCTTTCCCTTTTTGAATATGGCAGCAGCAATAGTAGCCGTTTCTAGAACAATCGAAACGCGAATGTTTGCATTCAGCGTCGGAGTTAACAGTCGAACAACGTTCAAACGAAACCTACAGAATAATCGTCGGTGTACCAAGCGAGTACAATCA